TCCCATTTTTGGCAACGTTCCAGCTTTCTCTTGCACTGATCATCATCATCCCGCACTCACCACCATGATTCGCGCATTTGCCGGCGACATTTTGTCTTTTAGCCATTGTTGGGCCACTTTTCGGTGATCTCCGATGACTTTTTCACTTCCCTGGTGGCCGATCTACCTTCCCCACACTCAGATCCACCTTTCTCTAAGCTCCATCAATGCCAAAATTGCCGGAATCCACCATCGCTGCCGCCGCGCCTTTTCAGCTTCCACGCAAGTTTTTGCTCACTTTCCGACAACCTTTCATCTCCCCAGGGCCTGATTCGAACTCCTCATCACCTGAGCTTTCCATTGGTACCTTCGGATCCCATTTTTGCCACCATTTCCCGGAAGACCCGCCGAAAAACTTACGTATTCTGGCGAGTTGCGACTGTTGGTATTCCAGGAGTTCTGTTGGTCTTTTTCACCTCCTCATCGCATCTTCCAGCTGCAGGTCACTTGCTCTTCGCCATGACTAGCTTCGTTTCCACCACTCTAGCCTCCGTCGACACCACCATGAGCGGCTGAGCTCTCGGTTGTCTGTTACGGTGTAGGTGAGATCGAGATTAACACCCATGACTCTCCTCAACAGCTCTCGACTAGTTGGATGAGCCCGATTGTTGGACATTTGATTAAGTATTGTGTATCGGACTATGTTTGTTTTCGTTTCATGATTCATTACGATATTATAATGTAGTTTGATGTGCGATTTGTGATTATTGATGTTGTCCATTGAGATTAGTTTTTGATATAAAACCTATTGCACGATAAATGTTGGTTTGAGATAATTAAATGTTGAGTATTGCTCTAAATTACTTCGCATCGATTGTAATCGAGTTATATTTGCATTTAATGCAATTTCTACTTATGCTACATTGATTGTGTAGTTGGTTGATTTGATGATACGTGTTGATGAATTGTATTTGTTAATGATATACCAACTAGTGCTAATGACTTGTGGAGTTTTCAGTAGTCAAAGATAGTCTTTAACTAATCGAACTTGAGCAATTGGGTGAGACAAGATAGACTATACCTAGAGTGCCAAAATGCAATTTTATTGGTTTACCTTGCCTTGTAGGTTTAGGGGATCGTAGAGTGTGGAGGAGAATTGTGAGAGTTGGTCTTGAGTAGAACTGAATCCGTAGCGGCAACGCTTTTAATTTTGTGTTTTAGTTAGCAATTTATTTGATGCTTTTAATTTCCTGTAATTAATTAGTTTCCTTAGTTTTAATCAATTAATTCATCAATTTCTCTTTGGTTAACTCAAATATACATTAGGTCGTCAGTCTTTGCTCCTTGTGGATTCGACACTGCTTACTGCTAACTACGATATTTATGATTAATTTTGCGACCATGATGACCAGCTTGACAAAATTTTTAGCTTCAAAGTGACTGTCAAGTGAATGTGGGTTTTTGGTATGAACCATGGCTCCACATTAGGCTAAAAAGTGGATGAAGATTGACCTTGATGATAAAAAGTTGATTATGACTCATTTATTGGTAAACTTGTTTTTAATTTTATTAATTACAAATATATTGATTTTTTTTTGGTAGACAAAGTTTGATATTGATTTGAATGATCCTTAAGTAACTTAATTGTCTTATGGGTAGGGCTTATTGCAATAATCATTATGATCATGCCCAGTATTTTCGAAGCTTTGAGGATCCTAAAGAAGTGCGGTGACATCCTTATAAAGGCATGCGACCAGGAGATTGGGATTGGTTATGCACACTTTTTGCTAGCGAAGATTATCAGGTAATAATTTTTAATATTTATGATTTTTATTGGTAACGTTACGTGGATGATTTATGCTCAGTTACTTAATTATTATTTAATGCTTATTATTGAAATATTATCTAATATTTATTTTGGCGTAGCTAAAATATTATTATATATTTCATTATGCATCATTATTCAATATGCATAAACTTTTGAAAGTAAACAAGGCCAATCGTGCTAAGTTGTCGTATAATCATTATGGTGGGTCAAAACCCTTTGTTTTTCAACAAACAAATAATTCAGAGGTTTGAAATATATATTTAATGTGTATATTGTAATTGCTATTTGATAAGAGTGTAATTTAGATATTTTTATTCCTTCCATATTATGTTTTTTGTTATGTTTTATGCCTAGTTGAGCTGATTAGAGTTTATTTTGTAAGTTTGGCATAGTTGGATAGACTTTAGGAAATAATTGAGAAAAGATTAGGAAATTCCAGATTTTCCAGATTTTTCGTTATTCTGACTAGTGCTACGTTTTTCAGGTTTTTCAGGGAGCTAGATTCCTCGATTGCAAAAGTGTTCTTCAGAGAAATTAAANGGTTATGCGCACATTTTGCTAGTGAAGATTATCAGGTAATAATTTTTAATATTTATGCTTTTTGCTGGTAACTTACGTGGATGATTTATACTCAGTTGCTTATTATTTAATGCTTATTATTGAAATATTATCTAATATTTATTTTGGCCTAACTAAAATATTGTTATATGCATCATTATTCAATTTTCAAAAACTTTTGAAAGTAAACAATGCCAACCGTGCTAAGTTGCCATACAATCATTATGGAGGGTCAAAACCCTTTGTTTTTCACTGAACAAAAAATTCAGAGGCTTGAAATATTTATTTTTGAATAATTTTTTATTTAAAGTGTATATATTGTAATTGTTATTTATTTGTTTGTTTTTTTAATATTAATTGTCTTTTATTTGTTTATTTTTTGAATATTATGATCTTTTTAAAGGCCAACTCCAAGGGGAGGAGCATTTATTCCATGACACTCATTTTAGCCGTAAAAGAAATACTTGGATAAATGATGAAGCCCAGGTTTGATATGAAAGTATTATGTAGTGTATTTCATTTTTTTTGTATAAAAGTTTATTATATTTTTATATTATATTTATATTATAACCTAATACCTTTTATTTTTTAATTTATAAAATTTTATTATTTTTATTTATATATTTGTGTGTATGTACATATATATTATTTTTGTAAGAACAAATGAAGAGCATTCTCAATTAAGAGCCTAAAGAAGGTTCTCAGCCACCTACTCAATTAGAGATCACTCAACGGGTTTTAGGAACAAAATCTGGTTATTATCGTGGATTGGGTTATAGTCCAAAACCACTTGCATCTTCTAAAACTTCAAGGTGAGCCAATCAAGAAGTTTTAGAGGAACTCACACACTTGCGTGAGGAGGTGCAAGAACTACGAGGTATAAGGGAAGAATTTTGCCAATATAGGCAAATGATGGAGAAGATGCAATAGTTCATCTCAGTTAATATGGGTTCTTGTTCTACTAGCTCACAGACATTTCCGGGCCAATTTCCACCAGATCCTCTACCACCTGCAACAATTTGAGTTTTTATTTGTCACTTTTTGTTGAATATTAACAATTTAGTCAACTTTATATATTTTTAACTTTTTATTTGAAAACAAACATATATAGTTCTATAATATATTTGGTTTGATATATTTGTGTGACTTCAATTAATTACATTTTAGAATTAAATTTTAAAATGTCTAAGATAAATTAAATATTATTTAATCATATATTATAATATGGGCGACAACAATTATGTTTCGATGTTGTAGACTTTTAGCTATGAAATACATTTATCGTTCAAAAGTTTTGCTGATGACTTTTACATTTCATTGCTAACAGTTTCAAGTGACGAAATATAAAGTACGGTTGTGCTATACTTTAAACGACACATATAGAGATTACCTCGCTATTAACTTTAGGCGACAAAACATTTCTTCACTGTATACTTTAAGCGACACACACAATTATGATGTCGCTAATAACTTTATGCAACAAAAATGTATATTTCGTCACGGTATTTCATAAGCAAGAAAAATTCACATTTTGTTGCGGTATACGTTAGGCGACACAAACACACATCTCGTCGTAGTATAGTGTATGTGATATAATAGATAGTACATCGCCATTAACTTTAAGCGACGACAACTAATATTTCACAAGTAAATAGTTTTAGCGATGAAAATGGTATAGGCGACAATTTTTTGGTTTGTTGCCAAATTCAAGGACGAATTTTAACAAATCATCATCTAAAATAAAGTGCGACACGTCTTCTGCGATAATCATGGTGATGATTTTCTTCCATCGCTAAACATATACCACAACGATTTCTAATTTTTTAGCAACGAAAAAATTCGTAGCTAAATAAAGGTTTTATTGTAGTGACGCGCGCACGCGCACACACACACACATATATATATATATATATATATGCTACATTTACACCATTCTTTTATACTATTTTTTACATATGTCACAATCACATAAATTCTATTATAATATTAAAAATTCAAAATAATTAAAAATTTATGTAATTATGGCGCACACACACACACACACACACACATATATATATATGAGTAATGCTACATTTACACCACTCTTTTATACGATTTTTTACATATGTCACAACCACACAAATTCTATTATAATATTAAAATTTTAAAATAATTAAAAATTTGTGTAATTGTGGCGTATGCCACATCATAATGTAATGAATATAGTGTAAACGTAGTACTATTATATATATATATATATATATATATATNGGTTTAATATTACATTACGTGCATATATATAATAAATTTTATAAGATGGTCAGCAATAACACATTAACGATCAAGGAGACTTTGAATAGCAAAATTAATAAATATATTTTGTTTTAATATTACATTACGTGCATATATATAATAAATTTTATAAGATGGTCAGCAATAACACATTAACGATCAAGGAGACTTTGAATAGCAAAATTAATAAATATATTTTGTCAAATAGATCTATCAAGAAGGTCGGGTTTCGCTATAAAATTTCAAGTTGTAGTGTTGAAACGAACACAGGAAATATCTGGTTATTTTAAAGTCTCTCCCATTCCCCTTCTCCGCCTGTTTTTCCTCTATCAAATCTAAATAGTTTGTGAAGAAGTAAATAATGTCCGAATCTAGAAAGCAATTGGAAGGGAAAGTAGCCATAATCACAGGTGGCGCTAGCGGAATTGGGGAGGCTACGGCCCGTGTTTTCGCTGAACACGGTGCTCGTATGATCGTGATCGCTGATATCCAAGACGATCTCGGCCAACAAGTAGCTGCATCAATTGGAGCAGACAAGTGCACGTACATGCACTGCGATGTTTCAAATGAAGAACAAGTCAAGGCATTAGTTGATTCAACTGTCCAAAAATATGATGGACTGGATATCATGTTTAGTAATGCCGGGGTTTTAAGTGCCTCTGAACAGACAGTCCTAGACCTTGACTTTTCAACCTTCGATCGTCTCTTTGCGGTGAACGTCCGTGGCATGGCCGCATGCGTGAAACATGCAGCACGTGCGATGGTTGAGGGGGGAGTTAGAGGGAGCATAGTGTGCACGGCCAGTGTTACCGGCAGCCGTGGAAGTGTAAGGATAACTGACTATCACATGTCGAAGCACGCGGTGATTGGATTGGTTAGGTCAGCAAGCACGCAGCTCGGAGTGCACGGGATTCGGGTGAACAGTGTATCACCGTTCGGAGTGGCGACGCCGGGTGTGTGCAAGTCGCTCGGTGATATGGAAGCTGAAGAAGTTGAGAAGCTTTCTGAGCCATATCCGTGCCTTAAGGGGATTATTGTGAAAGCAAAGCATGTGGCAGACACTGTGTTGTTTCTTGCATCGGAGGATTCTGCATTTGTGAGTGGGCATGACCTAGTGGTGGACGGTGGGCTTTTATCTAAAATGCTGTAATTTTTTTACCTACCTACCAAAATAAGGCTTAAACCCAAGGCCATATAGAGAAATTAATGTTTGTTGAGTTGGAAGCAAGATGTAATTGGCAATATATATATTTTGTATTGATTCCCGGGTTATAAGGTTCCTAAACAAGACGAGCATCGTTCTGACTGTTTAGAACGGTTGATCAGCTCAATTAATTGGTTTGTTAGATGCAATTTCTCTAATTCATATATCGTTATCTACAAAACTTTCGATAACAGGATTCATTTAATGTAAGATGAATATGTATAGAGTGGAATTAAATGATAGGCAATCTAAACTGTGGCGAGAGAGAGCTGCGCTTTACGGCAATATGTATGAAGATTGTTTAAGCAATCCAATTATATTGAATCATGTTGGAGAAAAATTGAATTGTACGAATATCAGTAATTTCAACAGACTGAATACTTGAATTATTACTATTGAAACCAAAAGACGTAATATCTGAAAACAAAAAAAAAAATCTCTCAATTACAATCAAAGGAAAACTGTTCCACTGCAACACATTCTAAACTGGAAGATACAGATATTCAGGTTGTTTGTGCCATAGATAATAAGCAGCATAAATCCACCGAGGATGGACCAAATATTTTATCTCTAGTTCTGCCCATTCATAATCCTCAATCTTATTGTTTGATGACACCAAATGTGTAACCGAAGAGTCAATCCTGGTTTTGCAAGTTGCTCCCATCTCCTCTGCTCTGCTCCAAACTATAGCTGCATCAGCTCCAACATCCTTAAAGAATAGAGTACACCCTATCAGAATATTTCCACGAATTTTTCCTAACAATGTTCTAACATCTTGGGCACCAAGATTTGTTGGATCTTCAAAGAATAATCAGTGGATTTGTTTTAGAACTCCAAGAACGTTTGCAAGTGCCCCGTTAGTTTCATTTTCATCGGTCCTCATCACTGAGAAAGATTTATGATCAAACCTTTGATCTCTATAATAATTATATCTTCCCATAACTATCAAGTTCTCTTTATGCTCACTCCATGCACTCTCGGTATCATCAAGAATAACTATACCTCTCTCCTGTCCCAACACTAAATCCAGGCTCTTTTTTCCTTTTTGTTTCGAATCATCCCGCGAAATTATTCTTGACTTGATGAAGTATTCGCATTTAGGATCAAGCAACATAGCCACTCCCTCTGCATAGTATCGATAACCCATAGTATATATGTAAAGTTCGAACATGCTGCTGGCTTCTTTTAAAAACGTTCGAAGATAGGGTCTCAGTTTGACAATGAATTTGTCATCTATCTTAAACAGGTCGCCGTCTGATGTATTTTCCAAAGAATCTGCACGCCTCTTCAAATATTTCTCCTCATGGGTTAATTTATGGATGCGTTGTGAATGAAGCAATGTATGATCTAAATCAAGAACTAACTGAAGCTTTCTTTGGCTAAACAAATTCAAAGAGTTTAATTCTTTCGACTGACAAATTTCAGGGTTGCTAAACCTAAAACCACCGAGCACAAGATCAGATCCTACACCAAACCCTTCCTTCATATTTTTCCCACAACTGACGCACCATCCTCTCAGAACCACAGAATGTAAACATGTATTGTTTGAAGGAGAAAGAGATTTAGAAACTACCTGATAATTGCTCATGACTACGCCCATTGTGAAAAGAAAGTGTTTTTGATTAATGAATACAGAGCAAAACACGGCTTTCTAAGTTTTCATTTATATAGGTGAATTTATAATCCTAATTGGTTTCGGATTAGGATTAGGAAAGATTAGAGTTTAGCTACATGAGTACTTCCTGGAAATTCATCACGTCTAAAACACCTCCTTCCATTAAACAAAAAAACTGAAAATTTAAATACAATTATCAATTGCCAAAGGAGATGAAACATTCTATTTATTTATTTAAGTTTGTATATGCTAAGACAAATTGCATTTAACAAACCAATTTATATAGCTTAGTCAGATCAATCTTGTCTTGTTTACGAACCTTATAATATATTAATATGTAAATATTTTTCTGTACAATACTTTGATTAAAAGGGTTTCTTTTGTTTAACCATCTTATTTCTCTATGAAAATTGTAATTATAATTCAGAAATAATTCTAATAAAGGTGAGTTTGTAATCCTAATTGGTTTGGGATTAGAATTAGAGTTTAATTGAATTTGATAAAAGGGTTTTTTAAAGGTTTATATATCACTAATTCTAATTGGCTTCTATTAGCTAGGATTTATTTTGTGTAGCATTCATTACTTGCCACGTCTACTTCATCTTTAATTACGTTTTGGGGCCTAATATTACCCCAGTATTAAATGTCAATAACGGAGTTACGTATAAAATTAATTTCTTATCTTATAATTTTGTTGGTGATTTTATTGTTTATATATATACACAGATACAATGATCATATCTTATAATTTTTTTACAAGCATTTATTTAATTATAACCTTAGTTTTACAGACAGTACTCCTTTTATTTGGCGCATGTATTATACCCTTGAATAGGAAAACATCAATGTTTTTCACGAGTTTCTTTATTTTTTATATAAAAAAATTATTAAGTAGTTGGTAGGGACGTAGGGTTGGCAATTTATGTGGTGGGGATGGCCATCGGTATGGGTTTTTATACAGTAGACCTTCAGCATCACCCACCTCCAACCCAAGAGTTGATTCAAGATTTCTTATTCGACAAGGTCGGATGCTTGACACTAGACCTGGCAATCTTTTACCTGTACCCGCGGGTCCATGGGTACATAGGTAAAACAGGTGGATACGAATGTCCATAATATTTGTCTATTTCAAAAATATCCATACCCGGCCCACCTGTAAAAATTGCGGGCGGGTCGGGTAATGCCTGCGGCTACCTACACAAAATAAAAATTAAAATTAAAACAACAGGCCTAGCCTCTCCTTTCAATTCTACATTAAGGTAGTTTATTAAAAAGATATTTGGAGTTAAAATTTAATTAAAAGACTATGTAGTTTGTAAATGTTAACTAAATAGTCTTATTTTTTATTAAGCTTAATTAAATATGATTAGGGGTTAATTAGGATTAATGAATAATTATGTAATCTTTTAAAAATTATAATATGTCTCCAAATAGTCGAAATTCTTGCAAATAAACCCAAACACCTTATTCTTCTTCCTCCCGCCACGTTAACGCATTCCTCCGCCATTAACATCTTCTCCAACACAGATCCTTCTCCTCCTCTTCCTCCTCCTGACATTTCTTCCAGGTATGTGTATCTCCCTTTCGATTTCATATTTCGATTTACAAAGATTTGGGTTACGATTTTGATTTAGCATGGATTGGGTTTGAGTTATGATTTTGATTTAGTTGTTTAGGTTGTTGGGCTATGTTTGATGTAATGGAAGTTGAAAGGAGTAAAATATGTTGAAAATTTGTTCTGGGCATGTGTTCTGGGTATGATGGATCAATTGTAGGTAGAGATGACTGAAAATGTGTTCTGGGTATGATGGATCGCTTAAGCGATCTGATACGTCTAGTAATGCAGCAGATAGATCGCTTAAGCGATCAGGTATGTGGCATAAGATCGCTTAAGCGATCTGCTAAAAGTCTGGTGTATAGGAGCAGATCGTTTAAGCAATTAGTAAATGGCATAAGATCGCTTAAGCGATCAGTAAATTGCATAAGATCGCTTAAGCGATACACCAGACCATATAAGCGACTGTGCAGATTCTTTTTAAAATATTTGAACCCTTAGTACAGCATTTAAGAATATTTTTTTTCTTGCATTACAGGTAGTTGGCTATTATTACACATGGGACAAGTTGTTTTGGGTGTTGAATATTTTGGTGGGTGGGTGGAGGAAGAAAGTAGCTGGAAGTGGATTGGGAAGAGCAAAGAAGTTATACCAATTGTTGTGAGCATAGAGGTTAGTTTTGATGAGTTGATTGATGAAATAATTAGAAGAGGTGATTTGAGTTGCTCGCGTAGTGATATAGTTGTGAAGTATGTTTTAAGCAGAGTTCCTGAACATTATAAGGTACCTCCTGCTATATTAAAGTCAGATGAAAGTGTGAAGTTATGTATGATTGATGTGGCCGATAATGGTTCGAGGCCGATTTTAAGGGTTTCTTTTGTAGAAAAACCGTTGGAAGTTGGTTCAAAGGAAGGGGATAACGAGGAAGTAGGCAGAGATTTGCTTGGTTTTAATTTGAACTACGAGGCCATTGATTTGTTAGTTGAAAAATCAAGAGTAGACGGTGAATTGGGTGGTGAGGAGGACACTGTAGAAGAGGTTGGTGATGGGGGCAGAATGAAAAGGTTGAGGAGGAGGACCCCGTAGATGTTCCCACAGATGTAGAGATTCCTTTAAATACAAATTATGCAAAAGGCGTAGATTGTGAGGAAGAAAACACTATTGTCGTTTATGTAGGTTCAGAGGGGGCAATTGGAGGTAGTAGTGAATCAGCTCATGTTTTTACGGATGGATCGGAGTTACGCATAGGGTATTTATTTGACAACAAAGAGGAAGTGATGAAGAAGCTAAAACTTGTTGCCGTGAGAGGTAATTTTGAGTTCATCACCAAAAAGTCAAATTCATTGGCTGTGACGGTTGCATGTCGTGACCGAAAGTGCAAGTGGCGGGTTTATTGTAGAAGGTTGGCGGAGTCGGAAAAATTTATTCTTAGCACATATACCCGTGAGCACACATGTGGTTTGGGACATATTTCAGGTGAGCATCGACAAGCGTTCGCTGATGTTATTGGACAATTTGTCAAAAGTCGGTTCGTTGAAGGGAAAGGTCCATCTCCTAAAGACATTCAGAGACTAGTGCGCATAGAGTTGGGATGTACTGTTAGTTACTAGAAATGCTGGAAAGGGAGACAACATGCACAAGATTTTGTGAGGGGCACGCCAGAGTACGGGTACGCAGTATTAGAAGTGTACCGTTATATGCTTGAGTTGACAAACCAAGGTAGCAAGACAGTTTTGAAGTGGGATAGGAATATGATTTTTAAATATTTTTTTGTTGCTTACGGTTCTGCTATAAGGGGTTTTGTAAACATGAGAAAGGTGTTAGCTGTTGATGGCTGCTTTCTGACGGGAAAGTATAGAGGTACATTGTTGGTGGCCACTGCATAGGACAGCGAGAATCACACATATCCTGTTGCATGGTGTGTGGTTGACTATGAGAATGACGAGTTGTGGACTTGGTTTTTTTAGCAATTACGTACGATAGTGCCTGACAGTGACGAGTTGTGCATAATATCCAATAAACACAACTCTATAAAGAAGGAGATTGCCACTATTTACCGTTAAGCACATCATGGATTCTGTATGAGGCACCTTAGTGAGAACATAAAACAAAAGTTTAACTGTGTTGGCCTCCTTCGGACATACTACATGGCAACAAAAGCTTATCGGGTTGATGAGTTCGAGGAGCACTTCTAGCAAATTCGAATCAAGGATGATAGAGTTGCTAAGTATCTTGAGCATGATGTTGGTTTCCAGCGATGGAGTAGAGCTTACTTTCCTAGAAGAATGTTTGATGTCATGACCACGAATATAACGGAGTCCATAAATTCGAAGTTATTAATAGAAAGAGAGTTTTCAATAGTTGCACTTTTTGATGCAATCCAAAGGACATTGTCACGATGGTTCCATGAGCGTTGTACAAAGTCAGATAATTTTACTACAACCCTTGTTCCGTTAGCTAAAAAATTATTGCGAGAACGTATAGAACTATCAAATGCACTGTTTGCCTATCCTCTTAATGCTCAAGAGTTCACTGTGCGCGGCTATGGTCCAGATGCCCTAGTTAACCTTGTTAGTAAAACTTGCAACTGTAAAGTGCTTGACATTCAACGTTTACCTTGTTCTCATCCACTAGCAGCACTGAAACACCAACGGAAGCCAGATTTTGGTTCAAGAATTTACATGGAACTTTGCTCCCCTCTCTATATGGCAGATCACTACATGCTAACTTATTCAAAAACAATATATCCAGTGCCTCCAGAAGAGCAGTGGGTAGTGCCACCAGAGTTGGCTAACATTATCATCCATCCGCCATTCAAGAAGATAGTAAAGGGGAGAAAAAGAGTTAAGCGTATTCTATCAGCCTCTAAGGTTCCCCGGAAGATGAATAAGTGCTCAATTTGCAAGCAACCTGGCCACAAGAGAAGCAGTTGCCAGAAGTAATCACATGCAGATCTAGAAAATTAGGTTCGAAGAAGGATAAAATTCAGGGAGTTGCGAAGGCCAACCGTTGATGAGTTATTGTTTTCAATTATTAATGTTTTAAATTTTATTGTTTCCTTTAATAAATCATTCTTTATATTTAGTATTCTTGTTACATGACCTAAATATTTGTTGGTGATTTTAGTTTGGAATTAGGTTGTCAAATTGAGGAGAAAGTATGGAATTAATACGTGCTAGTAATTTTAGTTTGTCAAAATTCACGAGAAAAGCTGGAAAGTATATATTGCCCATGATCGCTTAAGTGACTAAGTATATCGCTTAAACAACAAAGGGTTTTTCAAACAGGATCGCTTAAGCGATCGAGCACCTGGGCAGATATTGCTTCTGCCAATCACACGATCGCTTAAATGATCCACGATCGCTTAATCGACCAAGACAAAAAGACAAGAATCGCTTAAGCG